TAACAGAGACTGTCTTGAAGTCTACGTTTCCTTGGGTAGTGATGGCGATAAGGTTATTGGCAATCGGCTCTGCGGAAAGGAATTGTGGAGTGATAACGATTGACTAGAGAGAGATTCAGTTTCATCGCATCGATATTATAGAAAGACATACCGTAAGAAGTTGGATATTGTCAAGGTGGTACTGTAGGGGAGATGAGTCCAGTGATTGTTCTAAGTGGTAGCCACTCACCGTAGCACCGTTGGCAAGAGCTTGTAAGCTGATCCGGTCCCAAGCACCTGGCCCTAGAAGAGCACCACTTGGAGGTAGTGCGTTGAAATCAATAATGACTGTAGTAAAAGCGTTTGGGTTAATGGAGGTGCTGATGGCGGAGAGTGGTATCGAAGGAGATTTGGCATTGTCTGACGTTCCTTCGAGGTAGATTTGGAGCGAGTTTGGATCTGCGGCAATGTCGAATTTAAGACCTGCATATGACTCAAATGTAGCGGGATCTTTGAGCGAAACCGCAGCCCAAGCGTCAGAGGTAGCCTTGATGCTCGACGTTCCTACAAAAAGGTCCGTAGCCGCCCAATCAATGACTGTATTCCAGCCCCAGTTTTGCCAACCATTGCTGAGAGCCCCATCGGTGTAGATTTCCTCGTCCGCGTGGACGACGGTAGATGCCAAAAAGGCGACGAACGCCGTCTTGAGGACAACCAACAGCATCGTTCTCTCGGATAAGAAAAACAATGTGGGACGAGCAACGATCAGAATGGCTCATAAAGAGCCTTTTATGGATCCAGCTTCTCAGAGGCGTATTTGCGGAAGATGTTTGGGAGCGGGTCACTGGGGTAAACCGATGCCGGTTTGATGTCGGAGTTCTCGCAGGCGTATCATTGTTCGTTTTGTGCTACGTTATACAGACGTGTGGATGCGCACGTGTATAACATCACTATCTAGTGCCGAATGAGCCGGTGGGACGATCCGGCAATTTAACCCACTGAGCTTCCTCCGCCCCTTAGCTGGGACAGGATCTGATGGTTGAATTTGTATCCCGCGTCTTGTTCCGATTTTCGTGGGAAGCGTGCTGCATGCACCTGTGGTGTAATATTGGCTCAGACCGACGTCGAATTCATTCGCCCAGTAGTGCCTGGCTTCGAAAATACCGATTTTTTTGTCGCATCCGGATCAAAAGGGTTTACGCCAATTTCTTCCGCGCCTGACGTCTTGCTGAATTAGGAATCCGTTGATATGCCAGAGTTGCGTTTCGTGGATACGTTTGCTGATAGAGCTAGACTTGTGAGTGACATGTTGCGGACTGGAAGGGAGGATCAGTTGGGGAGCGGCTTGCCGTTTGAACAAGTCATGCCATTAGAACGATCAAGTTCTACTAGTCGTATATAGGGGTTCAAGGCATCGAATTGCCTACCAAAGTTCGATAGTCGCGACATCAGATGGTGAGTTAGAAGACAACCGGCCACCGGACCAACTCGAAGACAAATGATAGATGAGACCAGTTGGTCTTCAATAGACAGGATGCACCCTTAAGTCTGAGC